TCAGTAACATTCCACCACAAAACTTTCAGGCATTCATTCCAATAGATTTAAACAAGTTAAAGAAGATAGGGAACGAATGAACCTGGGGTCACCGTAGCGACCCTTAATGCTCTCCAGTTTCTTGTCTTGCTCCGCTAAACGGAGCATTTGTTATTGCTTCTGGAGGGAAAACATTTGGAAACAGTGGATATGGAGTTTGTCCCTTGAATTTTTCTCCCCAGTTACTGGCGAAGATTTGATCCTGAGCTCTGTAGTACAATCGGAGTTGAATTTCCTCCTCTTTGCTCTTCATCAATTCATCTTTCAAGAGCCCGATCTCCTCCTTCCAGTCTTTTCTGTCTTTTTCGTGGGCTTGCTCCATTTCTTCCATTTTCTTGTTCATCATCTCTACTGCTTTCACCAGGTCTTTCACCGTGTTTTGCAAGGTTGAGGATCTTTCTCCTTCCTCAATCTTCTTTTTCAGAGGCAGTGGTCCAGCATTTTTTATCTGGTCAAGTTCATTCTGCAGGGCCACATTTTCTTTGTTAATGAGCAAGCTGGCTTCTTTCAGAGATTGCAGCTCCCTTCCAACTGTGTCTTCTAAGGCTTGCACTTGAGTGGCCAGAAGGTCTGCTCCGAGACCGAATATAGTTTGACATTGAGTCATGTCAGTTGTCTCGACTTGGAACTGCTTTCGTCCACTCTTTGCAGGAGCTCTCTTAAAGGGAAGTTTTTCCCTTCTTGGAGTTTTCTGAGGTTCTTCCTTCACGCTACCCGAAGCTTCAGCTTCTTCTTCTTCCTCCTTTCCTTCTTTTTCTTCTTTCTCTTCTTTTTCTTCTTCCTCCTCACTTTCCAATCCTTCATTGTCTCTGATTCTTTTTATCGTGGACTGATCAATGTCCGACCCTTCTAGAATGATTTCATCCGAAATCGGAATATTGGCCTTTAAACCAGCCCTCTTGCACATTTCAGTGACCAGACAAGGGAAAAAGAAGGGGGAGTTTCTTGGTGCATTTGCCACCAGTTGTTTGTAAACAATCCTCCCAACATCAAACTTCTTCTTAGTCAAGATGCAGAAGACCAGCACTGCTCTTTCCCAGTTCACTCTAGAGTCGTTGCTCACGGGAATCAGACGGGAGTTAATAAAATGCATCCGTACCTTTGCTAAGAATTTGAGTTGCTTCCTAGGGATGGATTCCTTAGTTCCCCAGGTTGCTCCTTCTGAGCCTATTTCTCGGAGCACTTCTCCAGTTATGGCCTCGTCTCCTCGGCCAGCACAATATCTATCGAACTCATCTTGTTCAGCAGGAACTGAAGCAGTGTTGTATGCTTCGTTGATTTCTTCAGGGGAGAAGTCTACTTTCACGCCTCTGATGAGGAGTTTTGGAAGATCTTCTTTCTTCATTCCCTCCAAGAATGCAGTCACGAACTCAGTGCGAGCTCTTGAGGGAGGCTCAATGAAGAGTTCCCAATCCAGCTCTGCTATATCCTCGGTTAGCCATCGGTCGAGATCTCCGTGTTTGGAGCTACTGGGGACTATGCCCCGTTCTGGTATGACTGTACGGTCGACTGTGGTCTGCTCAGGCTTGAGCTTTTTCCCTGTTCGAGTCCTCTTCTTGGAGATAGAAGCAACAGGTATAATGGCCTTTTCGCATGCGGCCCATTTCAGGCCCTTGGGTTAAAAGGGGCAAATGGATCAGCCCAATTAGAACTTGGTTTCAACATTGAGGGGTCAAATTCTAAGTGTTGGTTGCTCCTTGCTTTTTGGGATCAGGTTGCTCAAGAGCAACCCCAAAACTAGCTTCCTGCAATGGTTAGCACATTAATTTTCTCAAACAAACATAATAATAAAAAAAAAATGTCGCAAAAATAAATCTGGGTTGTCTCCCAGTAGCGCTTCGTTTATAGTCTTAGCTCGACTTGTTGCTCCTTGGGTCAGACTTCAGCTGGGTCATTGAGATGAGAAGTCAGTCCCTCATGCTCCTTGATCCCTCTATTATACTTTTTGAGTCTGTGTCCATTGACCCTGAGCGTTGCTCCAGATGTTTCATGAGCAATGGTAAATGCTCCATTGGGAAGTGCTTCAGTGATTGCATAAGGTCCCTCCCATCTTGATTTCAACTTTCCAGGAAACAGTTTCAATCTGGATCGATACAGCAGTACTTTGTCTCCAACTTCTAACTCTCTCCTGATAAGCTTTTTATCGTGCCACTTTTTCATCTTCTCCTTGTAGAGGTTGGCGTTTTCATATGCCTCGCTCCAGAATTCTTCTAGTTCAACCAACTGGAGCAACCTCTTTTCCCTAGCCATTCTGGAATCCATGTTTAGCAATGTGATGGCCCAGAATGCTTTGTGTTGAAGTTCAAGAGGCAAGTGACACGCTTTTCCAAACACCAACTGATAGGGGGAGCAGCCAATGGGTGTTCGATAAGCTGTCCGATACGCCCATAGGGAATCATCCAATTTATTGGACCAATCTTTTCTATCTGGGTTTACGACCTTTTCCAGGATTTTTTTTATCTCCCTGTTGGACACCTCTACCTGCCCGCTAGTCTGTGGGTGGTAAGGGGTGGCAATTTTGTGCTGCACTCCATATTTCTTCAGGAGCAATTGGAATTGTTTGTTCACGAAATGTGTACACCTCATCCGGTTTGATTTTAGCAGACTCATTGCTCTGGTCCTTCTCTTCTGGTCCTGTCTGAGCTTCAAGGTGTGAAGGGTTAGTGGCTTCTTCAACTTCCTTTCAATGGTGGGGTTAAGCCATGATAAAACGTGTGAATGATGCCCCAATCAGAAACTCCATGATTCGGGAAAATTCGTATCAACTCTTTAAAGCGTTCCCACGCTTCATACAAACTTTCTCCATCATACATTTGAAAGGAAGCTATATCAGCCCTCACTTGGGCTTGTTTTGCTTGGGAGAAAAATCGGGTAACAAACTGTTTCGCCAATTGCTCCCAACTGGTGATGGAGTTTGGGGGCAATGTTCTCCTCCATTCTTTGGTTTTTCCAGCTAAGGAAAATGGAAAAAGCCGCATCCACATGTTTTCTTCCGAAATACCATGAACTTTGAAATTATCAACTATCTCAGTGAAATTGTCCAAATGACTGTGAGGGTCTTCCATGGGTAGTCCATGGAACTGACCAGCGTTCATAATCATTTGGAACATTGCAGGTTTTATTTCAAAGTTCGGGATATTCAGAGGAGGGGGAACATAACCTCGTTCTGGACCATTTCTGAAGGGAGCAGCCATATCATTCAATGATGGCCCTCTTTCTTCATGCGGTCCTTGTTCAGGCCCATGATTATGATTTCCATTGTTATCATTGTTTAAAACCTCCTCCATTGTAATGTTTCTCAACCTTTGAACTCTTCTTCTATTTCTGAAGGTTCTCTCGGGTTCTGGATCAAAAAGTGCTATTTCCAGTCCAAGTTCTGTAGGTTCTGTGCTCATACAAATGGAGGAAGTCTATCAAAACAAAAGGACTGCAGTTAAACAACAAAAGTGCTTTCTTAAAAACGCCCTTTCTTGCCAAATGATCCCCGGCAACGGCGCCAATTGCTTGGTCGAACCGAGAGCTGCTCGGGAATATCTTTTCAGAGAGCAAGAGTGCAGAGTAATAATCAGGATTGCCAACAGGAGCAATCTACTCTGACTTAGAGCAACCCTCTTCAACTATACGCAAGCATACGTGTTAAGCAATATAGGGTATTGTAGCCCCAGATTTATCGTCCTCAGGGAGAAGTTGTGAAGTAATAAGCGCTAAAAGAAACTTAATTTGTAAAATGAAGCAATAAAAAAAATTACTATTCTCAGCTAAGCTTCACACAGAGCAATCTCTGGGCAGCTAGTTAAACAATGTTAACTATTCTGAACCAGATGAGAGCAGTGAATGACTTAGCACGGTCATCGAATAAAAATGCATCAATTTAAGTAACTTTAAGAGCAGTCAACGAAATGAAAGTAAGAGCATCAGCTGGTAAAACACAGTTCAGTTATCGTGAAGGGAAGATTGTGACAGAAGTTTGAGTTAAGATTAATTTCAGAAAAAGTCAAGTAGGTGTTACGGGTTCCATGTTTTCATCCCTTTGGTTAACCCTGCTTGGTAGCATATTTTACAAGTGGATTTTGTTTCTTCCCTTGTTTTGCTATAGGTAAGCAGATGGTAAGGCCTTACTCTCCACGTTACTCCATAGTACTTGGAGTTATATACAAGGAAACCATGCTGCCTTCTCAAAAGAGCATGGATTCACATGGCAGTGCTCCCCATTCCAGGTGTTTCTCCCTCCTTTCTTCAGGCTAAACTACCCTAGGGTCTTGAGAATGCTCCACACGCCCTTGTCAGTGTTTCATCAACCGAGTGGTCCCGGGATGAGGTTGTCAGCCCAAAAGGTTTCACAAAATCAATAAATTAAACCAAAGAGCAACGACAAAAGGGATTACTTCTATGGAACCCTCACCTACTTAGAGGAAGTTAGCTCCTAGTGAGCATTTTTACAAAAAGAAAACAAAAAAAATCACTGGTTCTAGGATGGGCGCCCTTTATGAGGACTGCTTGTTCCTTTTATAGGGTTCTTCATTTGATCTTCATTGTTCCTTTCATCAAGGGTCATGCTTTGTCTAAATCCTCTCCAATGGTAGCTTTGCTTCTTGCCAGCTTGGCCTTAAATGGAAGTGGTCCCCCTTGCTTTTGGCTCCCTTTGTGAGTGGGAGTATCGGATTCAGGGAGACACCAACACTCCTTCTCCTCTCTTCATTTTGTGGTTCCTTTTGATGGGCCTTAGGTGTCCTGAACAAAGCAAACTAACCCAATAGTCATATGTGAAAAAGATAATGTTAAATTTGCTCCAGGTCTACCTTAATTCCCACTTTCGGCATTGCTCTGGTCCACTATTCAAAACAGTTGCTCTATATGAAAAGAAGAAGGTTGAAGGGAGTGATTTATAACCAAAACATGGGGTTTGTGGAACAATTTACACTTAATGGGCCTCAACTCTTGAGGACTATCAACAAACAGACATGGAAGCCCAGCTGGTATCACTCATGAATGAAGTGAAGAACCTGAGAGCTGACCAAGCAGCACTAAGGATGGAAGTCTTACAACTCACATCAACTGAAATAGGACCATGCTCAGCCTGTGGTGACCTTCATGACTCAACAGACTGCCCATCCACTGCATTGGTGTGTTATGCAGAAAATTTTGGCAATAGGAACTTCACCAGAGACAATCAACAAGCAGGACAAAATACACATTCAAGGCCTGAAGGAACTATCATTAAGGATCAGAACCACAGCACCCAATGGAGGCCACCCATTAACTAGAGACCATTCAACAACAATCAGCAGCAATATTAGCAAGGTAGTAGCAGTGGAACGTTTGAACAAAGAAGAAACAACTACGTTCCGTTCCACAGAGATGACCAACGCATCAACACCCTGGAAAATTATGTCAAGGAATATTTCACCAGGAATGATGCAGTGGTCAGGAACATTGAGTCCCATCTGGGGCAGATTGCTGCCAACCTTCAAATTAGAACACAAGGATCACTAGCAGGGAATACTGACGTTCCTTCAACAACCTCGCCAAAAGTAGCACCTATCTCCCCTTCAGAGCAAATCAAATCTGTCACCTTAAGAAGTGGGAAAGCCACAGCACAACCCACAGTTCAACCAAAGGAAAAGGAACAGACTGAAGCATCTGAAGTAGCCCCAAAAGCACAACAACAATCACCAGTCACAGATGAACAGAACCCAGAACCTGAAAAGGAAGCCAACAACCAACCAATCAGTCCAACTCAAAGCAGGCAAATATCAACAAAAATTTTGTTCCCTCAAAGAACAAAAAAGCAACAGGAGGATAAGCACTTTGGAAAGTTCCTGGACATTTTAAAACAACTTCACATCAACATTCCTCTGGTGGACGCACTAGAACAGATGCCCAGGTACGTAAAATTCATGAAAGATGTCCTCTAAAAAAAGAGGAATAACGGAATATGAGACTGTAAAAATGACACAAGAGAGTTGCCAGTACTTAGGCAGACTCCCACCTAGGCTTCAAGACCCAGGAAGCTTCACCATTCCTTGCATTATAGGAGACACGTACCAAGGGAAAGCCTTGTGTGATTTAGGGGCCAACATCAATCTCATGCCCCTGTCTGTCTTCAAACAATTATCCACTGGACCAGCTAAACCCACCACGGTGACTTTGCAAATGGCAGACAGATCCATCGTCAAGCCAGAAGGGAAGATTGAAGATCTGCTAGTCAAAGTAGACAAATTTATCTTACCCGCTGACTTCATCATTCTGGATTATGAAGCTGACGTTGACGTTCCCATCATTCTGGGTAGACCGTTCCTAGCAACTGGAGGAGCAGTTATCAATGTACAAAAAGGGGAACTAACCATGAGAGTTCATGACGATGAGATCAAGTTCAATATTGTCAAAGCAATAAAGTTCCAGGACGAAGGAGAAGACTTGGAAGAATATTCTGCTCTCACTTTGTTAGACAACCATCCTAGCAGAAAAACAGAGGAAGAAGAATACGAGGAAGGAGAAGAAGATCCACAACAGGAAGAGCAGAGTTGCTATCTGCAAGAAAGAAGGCCTGAACCTTTGATAAGAACTGAAAAGGAGAAGCAGCTCAAAAGACCTTCTTCAAAAAAACCTCCTGATTTAGAACTAAAACCCCTTCCCCAACATTTGAAGTATGCATATCTGGGGAACAACACCCTTCCTGTGATCATTTCTTCATTTCTTACAAAGGAACAAGAAGAACTGTTGCTTGACAAGCTCAAAAAGTATCAAGTTGCCATCGGTTGGACCATAGCTGATCTCAAAGGTATCAGTCCCTCATTCTGTATGCATAAAATATTATTGACTGATCCTAACAGTATTTTTATGGAACACCAAAGAATATTGAACCCTATAATGAAAGAAGTGGTGAGAAAGGAAGTCATTAAATGGCTGGATGCAGGGATCATATACCCAATATCTGACAGCAGTTGGGTAAGTCCTGTCCAATGCGTCCCCAAAAAGGGAGGCATAACAGTAGAGAAGAATGAAAAGAATGAGCTGATACCTGTAAGAAAGGTTACATGATGGAGAATCTGCCAAGATTACAGGAAGCTCAACAATGCCACTAGGAAGGACCATTTCCCACTCCATTTTACAGATCAGATGCTGGACCACCTAGCAGGAAAAGAATACTTCTGCTTCCTTGATGGATATTCGGGGTATAATCAAATTGCCTTGGCACCAGAAGATCAACATAAAACCACCTTCACCTGCCCATATGGAACGTTCGCTTTCAGAAGGATGCCCTTCGGGTTATGTAATGCACCAGCAACGTTCCAGAGGTGTATGTTCTCAATCTT